ACTCACTGTCCACTTTTCTTTTCTTTGGCCCGCTCATTTGTACAGAAGGGTTCATCCGGGTTCTTAAGGGAGTAATACACCACACTCTGAAGTGCGCCATCTATTGGGGAAACGCAGGCATTACAGGGGAAAACAAACGAGGTTTAATTATAATAACATTTAATTTAATAATAATATAATTTGGACAAGTTCGGCGGGCCGGATTAAAAAGCCCAACGGCCCGTATATGGCCCGCGGGCCACAGTTTGCACATGCCTGGCCTAGACGGTATAAGTACTACCACATTTTTCCATAGAATCTTAAAGCTTTCTCAATTTTTTTGTTTGAATCAAACATTTTTCCTCCTGTTTTTTGGGTAGACAGGAAGGTCAGATTTGTGTTTATTTTAAACATCAGGTGAGATTTCTTTCATTTCTAGTTAGCAGAGATTTTGTTGGTTATTTCGGAGCACCCTGAAGTCATTGCTTCCTTTCTATTGATTATCTTTCTGAAATACATATCTGCTTAAATATTTGATCTATTGTTGTAAAAAAAAAAAAAAAATAAAAAAATAAAAAAATAAAAAACATAAAAATAAGATGAATTAAAAAGTGCGGGATGTGATATAAAGTATTTGATTTTGGTTTGATTTTAAAGAATGTTTTAGATATCATTAAATACATTAAGTTTTGATGATTTAAACATCTTTGTTTTCAAATGTTCTGTAAATTCACCACTGACGTTATCTTTAGATTTCATTCTTTGACACTGAACATGATCTGAGTTCCCAAATAGAACATTAAAGGTTTTCTACCTTTTCTGTTAAGTTTTGGTATCTTGTATGTGACCTGTGATCTTTACATATGTTTTCTAACCACTCCTAAAACATTTTGATGTTATGTGGACAGTGTTAAAACGATGTTATTGTCTATCATGGGTGAAACTCAGAGGCCATGTACTTAAAGAAGGTAATTGGTAAACACCTCAAAGAGAAATTAAAATCATGTTCAAACTTTTCTCCCTTTAAAGAAAAATAAAGCTAAATATTAAAAACGGGGGGAACTGTTAGTACGTATTTTCATGGATTCATTCATCTTGATAATTTTGTGGACATATCTTTAAATTCTGTCAACCATCTCACAGTAATTCTACTTTTGGGTCTGTGAAGCTGTAACCTTATATGATGAAACATGTAAATTGTAGCAGATCTGTGTTTGGATAGGAGCCAACTATATGTTGTCAACAACTGTTTGGTAGACAGAGAGTCTACATCTGATACGTATACAAATCAGTGTCATGTCATCTTTATTGTTTTATAGTGATGTACCCAAATGGAAAGGAATTTGTTGGCTGTACCTTCTAGCAGAATATAAGCCACACTGTGTGATGAAGACTTTGGTCCATTTTGCCATTTTGCCAATGATTGTCAATGATTGTGAGATCTTGGTCAGCATGGGTCAGCGATGGTCTGCACTTTGTCAGCCATGTGTGTTGTGTTTCTGTGTTGTCTGACCATGGCTGAATAAATCTAAGATGATCCACAGTCTGTTTCACGTTTTCATAATTGTCCATCTACTACAGAAATAACCCCCACCTAACAGTAACTGTCAGGAACATATTTTACAGGCTCAATCTTGGAGCAGGATTTTGTTTTTCTTTAACTTTTAGAGCAGCTTTTTCTGTTCTTCAAAAATGTTTCTGTCAGTTTCTGTTTTTTTAAACAAACATACTTAGAGTTGTCAGTCTTATTTTTCTGAAGTTCTCAGAAATATAAATGCCTCTGTACTTGACTCCTTCTTTTCATCTGAATTTCTGTACATAAATAAACTGAGACATGTTCATCTCTTCACTGACTGACAGGATGTTTTTGTTTTGTTATTTATAGATTGTACTTTAACAAGTCCAGGCACAAGGAGTGCAGTGTGCGTTATATACACTGCAAATATGTGTCACATTGTCAGTTCACTTTGTCTCACATTCCTGCAGTAAGATTTTAACTTGCTTTCTTGCAATGAAATCCTTTTTTAGGATTAACACAGTGAAATATCAGACGAGGCAAAGTCAGAAGTTACTAAGCAACAGAATCAGTAGGCTACTTGGCTCAGTTGAGTGGTTGACACACAGTTCTCTCATGTTGTGCAGGAAAATACAGCAGAGTTTAGTCTCTGGGTTTTAAGTGAAAGACACGTTACAGCTAAATGTTCAGTTCAAGTTAACTGACGAATAATTTGAGTGACTTTTGTTTTATTGTAGCCACATAATGACATTAAACAAGAAGAGAGACAATGTGTGTGCCAATTGAAAAGACATAAGGACATATTTTGACTATGTAATGACATGAAATAACTAGAATATCAGCTCACACCAAATACATATTGTTATATTATTAAATATACTTTATGGTCTGATTGATCATTTTCAGTTAATTTAAACTATTAAGATTATAGTACCTTCAGCTCAAGTCATAAGTCCATGAGGACTGACCGTAGACTGTTAGAGACACTGCGCTCCCTCTAGTGGACACATAGAAAACTACAACAACACAATCAAACAGAACACATCGTTTTATTTCTGTTTTTGTTGTGACTGGGAGAGCGAAAGTTTGTAAAGTTTCATTGTGTTCTTGTTAGTTTATTTGTTCTGTTAAAGTTGTTAAAAAGATCAACGTTATACATTCATGTTAGTTAGAAGAAAGCTCTTTTTACAAACCGTTGACCGGAAGCACTCGTTTGCTGTTCTGTATGAGTTTTACAGTTGATTGAATGTTGCTGAGTGAGCCGTTAAAACAACACCGCCCTCATGTGGCCACAGGACGTTACTGCACTGAAGTCGAGTCAAGCAAAACACCGTTTTCTTATTGTTAAACTTGGTTTTATATATTATTTTACATCTATTTATTTTATTTGACCTTTTATATATTACATAACCTCCATTTGTTTTCATTGAACCTTTAATATCATATAATTTATCATATCGTTTAAAGTTTTCTTTACTTTTCTTCAAAATATGTGAGTTACCCTTAAATAGTTTATGAGTTATTCTCTGTGTTAATTCAGCAGCAGATTTGGAGAAGTTTTTAGATTACTAGATAATGTTTGTGATTGATCTATCTTGGTTAATCTTTTTCCAGTTCTTACCAGTTAAACCAGTTAAACCAGTTAAAACAAAAGAATGGACTCCTCATCATCTGTGCTCTCTTGTGCTTATCGACAGATCACTGATGACTGACTGATTGGTATGAATCATAGACTGTAAATATTATGAATCCCTAAACTTGTGAACCCAGAGCCCCCTAGACTGTAAATGTAAAGGGCGGAGCCCCACAGAGTAAAAGTACTTCCGGTCACTGACATAAAAAAAAAAAAAAAACCTTTTCAACAACACACATTGACCTTTGTTACCGTTCCTTTGAGCCTTTTGACATCAGTTTATGATCCACAACCACTTCCTGTTTCTGTGCTTTAGTTCATTAACTAGACTCTTCTCCTCTGTCGCCCCCTACTGGTGAAAGGAACTAAACTCCATTCGATCTGCAGAGTCCCTCTGCACCTTTAAGAAAAAGCTAAAGACCCAGCTCTTTATGACCACCTACCACCTTAATGATATTATTGATGATGATGGTTTTGTTTGATAATGATGATGAAGATATTTAGGATAGTTTTGATGCTGATTAGATCTCTGAAGAACAGCTGTCGATGTTGTGCTCTGCCTCTGGAGTGATATTTTTGGATAGGTAGTCGAATTTAAATCAGGAGAGACGAGTGAATTAAGAAAAAAATGATTTATTATAATGGATAAGATGGAAATGTGACTTGACAGAAATACTTTGGAGCTTGGACTCTATGGGGGTGATTGATGTTTGAAGAATAACAATTCTGAGTGTTGACAGAATAAATCCCCTGATGGAGTCCAGACCCTGGTGGTGCTGAAGCTGAGGACATGATGAGACCGGATGGGTGAAGTTGATGGATGATGATTCTGTGAAAACGGGCGGTGATGGGGAGGTGGAGGGGCGCACGAAACATCAACATGAAGGAACTAAAGGCAGAGAAAGAATCACATTTAAAAGAGAGCAGAACGATGATAGGCTGACAATGAAGGAGGAACGCCATGCCATTGGTTAGATGAGTACCGCTGACGAGACAGCTGATTATCCAATGACAGCTGGAGAATAACAGGGGAAACGTGAGCGAGCGTGCAAAAAGGGAAGAATGAGAGAAAGACCCGATCGTGAAGGCAAATATAAAGTCTTCCTGACTGAACTTACACCAGAGCTTCATATCAGAGACCAACATGTTTTTAATGTTTGGCAGGGAAAACAAGTTTTTAACAACAGAAAAAGACTGAAAGAAAATCTGCAGCAATATCTTTTATTATCATTTATGGAAAACACACACAGGTCTTCATATCTGGAAATCTGCTCCTCATTTATTCAGACACTTTATGTGAAATCACAAGAAGACACACACTTTGAATGTTTAAGGCTTTATTGAAACACTAAATCTATATTTACAGACAGCTTCACAGAGAAACATTCAACATCCCACCAACCATTCAAGATCTTAACTCAAATAAAACTAACAACTTTTCTTTTCATCACATCAATGTGTGATCAGCTGAAGCATTTAAACTTAATATAAAAATATATATCACAGAAGAAAAAACAACATAGTCCTGATTACTAATGAAAAACCTTAAAACACAAACATTATAAATCTCTTGAGCCTCGTTTAAATCAACACACTTCATTACTTATGCAGAAATAAACAGTACTGAGGAGCTGGTGAATGGAGGCTATGGTCCTACAAGCGGGCGGACCAGGTTCAAATCCGACCTGTGGCTCCTTTCCTGCACGTCATTCCCGCTCTCTCTCTCTCCCTGATTTCAGACTCTATCCTCTGTCCTATCTCTACAGTAAAGGTACCAAAAGCACAAAAAGAAATCTTAAAAAAAATAAATAAGCGAAACTATTTACACAACTGGAAAACAAAATGTTTAATGTTTGTATTGTGTGTGTGTGTGTGTGTGTGTGTGTGTGTGTGTGTGTGTGTGTGTGTGTGTGTGTGTGTGTGTGTCTTTATTAACGTATTTATCACCAACATTTGTTTTAGCACAAAGCTCTGAACACCAGAAGTAAAAATCCAACTATGATGGATTTTAGATCAACACACAAATCTTTCTTCAACACATGAAGAGCGGCGTGATGCCGTCATAGATTCATCTTCTGATTCTCTTCTCTCCAGGTGACAAAAAATAAATCATCAAGATTTGTAAAGCATTTGTCAACTCTTTTTCAAACTTGTTTTCTTTGTATTTCAAAGATTTAAATTTAAATTCCCAACTCTGATCACTTCATGTCTGATACGATGAGAGCCAATGAATTCTGAGGAGAGCGTGTCGGTCTGCTCCTTGTTTCAGTGCAGAACGTACCCGTAAACCTTTAGAGAAAAAGACAGAAGAAAGAGAAAACATGACATTAAAAAATATTTATCATCACTTTTTTTACAGAATTTATCCACAAATCCAGGTTTTAACATCAAGGTCAAAGGTCACGGTGATTTCATCATTGAAGCACCTTTCTTTAAATCATCTCCCTTCACTTCAAATACACTTTTTCACTAAAATGAGTCATCAACTTTTTTACAATAACAAAGAAACGATCTCCTTTATGCAGTTTTATAATCAGATTTAAAGAATTACTGTAACAACCAAAAAGAAAAGAATAAGCTCGTATATGAAAACATGATAATAAACATGACAGGACTCAAAAACACGTTCACACACACACACGGTTTAAAAACTGTGTGTCTTCCTCTGATTCCTGATTCCTCTTCCCCATTCACCTGTGACTCTCTTTTCTCTCTGCCTGTAGCTGTGGTTACCGCCTCTGTCCAGGTGACGCAGCAGCAGAAGTAATGTTTACATGCAGTGTCTTCCTGACTTACCACACACACCACCAGAACAATGACTATATCCTGAATTAAAGGCTTATTTCATGTAACTCACTGGGTTCAGGGTCCTCTCTTTGTCTTTCAGGTATTTTGATTTGGAAGCATCATTTGTTGCACAGCCGGGTCGTTTACCGCTGTAAGATCAGAAACACAATGTTAGCACACATCCGACTCTGAAACCATCATTTACACCAGAAAACACTCCAGAAACCCTTTTTCATTTACAGAGTTCATTTAAGGTCAAACTTAATAATAAAATCAAGTTCTACTTACGGGATGGAGGGCGTTTGGCTGAAACAGAAAAAAAAAGATTGTTCTAGATTTATTTCATTGAAGGTTATTTAAGGTCCCCTCAAGAGAACTATTCACCAGATGTAAATATAAAAAACATGTTTGAATGTTTCCACTTTGCTCTCTCACCATTTCTCTTCTTGTACAGGCAGAATCCAGCCACACAGACGATGGTTACAAGAAGGAGAACAACAGCGATGATGACAATGATCATGTAGATGGGATTCACTGTTGAACACAAACAACACACAGTCACACAACCTGTGATCAAACAGGTTAAAGGTTCATTAAAGACAAAGTTTCTCCTTCTGTCAGTTAGCTCGTCTTCATCACTGTACCTTTGATTCATTTTCTACATGTAGTTGTTTTTTCCCTTCACCTTTATGTCTTTTATTTCCATGTTTGATTGTGGCACAATGGTAACCGCTAACGATTACATTCAAACCCTTTTTCTCAATATTATTGATTTAAAGTAATTTAAAGGTTAATGCGGCTGCACTGTGGTAACGAGCGGACAGACGGTAAAAAACAAAACGATTCTGTCCATTAATAATCTCTTTAAAGATCTCTGTGTTTGTTTCATCCTGATCCAAACCTTTAAACTCTTTTTCTGAATACTTTTACAATTTGAAGAGTTTGAAAGAAAGAAAAAGTCACAACTAAACTTTCCCTCCATCACACGACTGTTACAGTCAAATCTCTCTTTCATCACTTCTCATCGAGGTCTTACCGTAGTTGGTCTTGATCTCTCGTTTGTCCAGTTTGGTGACGATGTCCTCCTTCACACCAGAGAGCTGAAACACACAGTCGTACTTCCCCCAGTCATCAGAGGGCAGTTGAAGGTCAGCGCTGATCTGGAAGGAGCCGTCGTGGTTGGGGAGGATCTCTCCCTTGTCCACGTCCTCGTGAAGCTCCTCTCCATCTTTCCTCCAGAACATCATGGCTCTGTTGGGGTAGAAACCTGTAGCGTGGCAGGTGACCGAGAGGAGGGAGTCTTCTGGAGGAGAGACACTGTGGGGAGGTCTGGAGGACAAACAGGAAGACAGATTAGAGTTTCTTTATCAGGATTTACTCTTAAATACTGTTACAACTCATGTTTGATGACACTTTTTAAATGTACTGGGAAAAAAAGGGACTTTAAAATCCAGTGAGTCAACAATGAAAATCAACCTTATTAAAGTATAATTCAAAGAAGAGAGGGTCAGAGGGGAAGAAACAGAAGAAGAGAGGTGAGGGGGGTTCAGATGGATTGATGAAGAAGAAGAAGAGGAGAGAGAGAAAGTACAATAAAAACACAGAGAAACTTTGAGAGAGAGCGATGAGCAGCAGAGAGAAAGAGATCTAACATGAAGGGAAAGGTAAGGGGAAGCTTAAAGATGAAGACAGAGCATGTGTGATAGAAACATGTGTGAAATATTTATTGTTCAATTACAAGATAAACAAGAAAAGAAGAAGATGAACATTGTCAGAATTCAACTCCATCAGGTCATTTGATCCTACCTGTTCTCATCAGAGAGCTCCTCCCATAGTTCACAAACTTCTTCAGCCAGTCAAGACACTCATTGTTGAAGTAGTTCTTATATACTCTAACTCAGCTTTGTCTTTATCCACTTCTGTTTGGTGACGACAGCCTGTTGTTGTGGAGCGACCCACGTCATGTCTTCATGTCCAGACTATGAAGTCTTCTCCATCATAACCATACTGAAATAACCATTAACATCACCAGTCTATCATCCCACTCACAGCCTTCCATCCTCTGGACAATGTGAACACCTGAGAGAGAGAGAGAGAGAGAGAGGGGGGGGGGGGGAGAGAGACAAAGAGATTTTTTTGATTTTTGCAAAACACTTTATTTACATAAATTTAGTTTTTACAGTTCAACAAAGTGCTAATGCATTAAAATCGAGTATGTTTAAAAAAAAATAGTTTATCTAATAAAAACTTGCAAAAACCAATTCTTCATCAACAACTGAACAAATTATGTCATTAAAACACCAGCGCTGTTTAAAAGCGTCCAAGTCTCCAATGTGTTTATAAAATCTAAAATCTAGCCAGAGTCTTGCCCTAATGTTTACCAGCCACACTGCCTTGGCCTCCTGCCCCTCTCTGTTCTCCACTCTGTTTTTCTGCTAATGTAAATGGCCATTTTTGCCTCACCTGAAAGGTAGTTAAGGAGCTGCCACTTCTCTTTTTGTTCTTTTTTGTAGGCAGCTCCATAATAAAAACCCTCTCAGTAAAAACCACATCAAAAAAACTAAAAACCAATGTTAAAAGAGAGAAGAAGCTTGTGAGCCTCTTACACTCTATAAAAACATTCAGTCTCTGGAAGGCAACAAAAAGGACAGGTGTTAAGAACAGCAGGTTAAGAACAGAAAGAAAAGCATTGGAGGCAATAGCACCATGTAAAATCCTCCACTGGAGGTCGGCAGTCCGTTTTTTGAGGGAGGTTTATATAAAATCCTCCACTGTGGGCCGGCTCCATTTGCTCCCAGCCTGTTTGACCACACAGTGGGGGGCGGTTGCACAGTCCGGCCTTGTGGATCGCCTTCACACAGTTCATATACCAGGTTTTTTGTCAGCTTTGTTTATTGTCAGCTTTTCTGGTGTGCTATAGCCAGGGGGCCGGTGAGCTCCCCCAGGCCGGGCTCAGGAAGACATCAGGGAAGGGTCTGCAGGGTCCGGTCTGGCCTTTCTTTTCCCATAGTCCATGAGGAGGCTCCTCTCTTTCCCCGAAAGCTTCTGGCGCACAGCTCCAGGAGCCTCCCCGCCACCCGGACAGAGTGCAGGCCCAGAAGAGAGCCCAGGGCCCGGGCATCACGCAGCGCCGGCCCCACTGCATCCACCAGCTGCTGCAGGCACAGGGTCTTGGTTTTGAGCAGCGCCACCGTCAGGCCGGGGGTGACGCTGCTGCTGATGTCCAGCTTGGCCCTGTGAATCAATGGCTCTCTCAACAACCAGTACAGAGAGTCAGACTTTGGCACCTTTTACAGTTAAAAAGGGCCCAAGACTTAAAAACACCCTGATAAAACGGAGGCAGCCCACTTAATTTTAAAAGTTTAGAATCAATTAAAAACAGAGCCGCATCCAGCCCCAGGAAATCTGCACGTCTGAGAATGCAGCTGGCCACATCTCTCCACACTAGATCAGCCGGACCTGTCAGATATTTTGTAAGAACTGTAGTCTGAAGGTGGCTGTCCGGCTGGCCAGGTGGACGAGGCCCTGTCCCCCCTCCTCCCTGGTTAAAAACAGCACCCCTTGTGGCACCCAGTGTAGACCATCCCAAAAAAAATCTACCATTTTCTTTTGTAGCTGGGCTAGCAGCCTGAAGGGGGTTACACAGGTTAAACGGTGCCACAGTTGGGATGCTACAAGGTTGTTTAAACCAATACTCTACTTTAAAAGACATTTGAGGGAGCAGCCATTTCACTTGGAAGTTTCCCTCAATTTTTTCTGTGACGTCTCGCAGTTCTTCTGGACTATGTGTTCTTTCCCAGGAAACCCCCAGGTACTAAAGCCATCTGTTTCTCCAGGCCAAGCTCTGGGGAAGAACTGGGAGACCGTCACGCCATCACGCACAGCGAGGGCTTCACTTTTTATCCAATTCACCCTCGCTGCCGATGTTACGCTAAAACGTTTTATAATGTTGGTTAAAATATCTGCATCCCTCTGGTCTTTATAAAAACAACAATGTCATCGGCATAAGCACTTAAGAACATGTTGCTATTAAAACAGGTAAACAAGCCCTGTGAGTGGTAGCGTATATTGTTAAGGAGGGGTTCCAGGGAGAGTGTGTAAAGCATGCCGGACAGAGCACAGCCCTGCTGACGCTCTACACACCCTGAAAGGAGCACACAGGCCGCCGTTAAACTTCAGCACACTCTCAACCCCACTGTACAACACTTTGATTTGGCTATGAACCAGCGCTGAACCCAACTTCTCCATAATTTCCAGAGGAAGTTGTGTTCAACGCGGTCAAATGCCTTTTCCTGGTCTAGAGAAATCAGACCAGTGTTACAGCCCGATGAGCTGGAGACGTCCAAAACATCACGAATGAGGTGGACATTGTCCCATGGACTGCCGGGCACACAGTAGGTCTGGTCCCGGTGGATGACCTGCTCCATAGCTTCCCCAGCCTGGAGGCAAAGAGTTTGGACAGAAGCTTGTAATCCACACACAGCAAAGACACACAGGGCGCCAGTTTTTGATGTCTGCAGGTTACCTTTTTTTGGGAGCAAGGTGATTACGGCTCTCCTGCAGGACATGGGCATTGAGCCAGAGGCAGACTTTCATTAAAATCTAAAGATCTTTTGCAAAGATGTCCCAGAAGGCTTTGTAAAATTCTACACTCAGGCCGTCTATGCGGGAGCCCGCGCCTTGCATGCCTGCAGAGCGCGCTTCAGTTCCTGCATCTGTAACGGCCCGTTGAGCTGTGTGTTTGTCTCCTCAGAGACCTGAGGCAGTCATGACAGAATCCTCCATCAGAGCTTCCTCCTCTCATATTCACTTGAGTAGAGTGCTGAGTAAAACTCACAGCTCGCCTCTTATCTGGCATGGCTCTGTCAATGTTTGCCTGTGTCTGCTAAAAGTGAGTGGATTACCCTCCCTGCCATCCTCTTCTCCAGGCCGAAGAAGAAACTAGAGGAAGCATCCATCTCCGTGATGGCTTGAAACCGGGACCTGACCAGTGCACCCTGTACTTTAACATCCAACAGGTCGGCTAAAGCTAGCTTTTTGACTTTGAGGATTTCAATATATCCTCGATTTGCTGTGGACTCGCTCAATCTTTCTAGTTCACTATATCAGTCTCCAGGTCTTTCATAGATCTGGTGATGTCTCTGGTGACATTGAGGGTGTGCTGTTGACATAAAGTTTTAATCTCAGTCTTACCATGGTCCACTGCCTAAGACTGTTAAACTCACCCTTCCTCTGTCTAAAAACATCCAGAAATAAATAAGAACCTCTTTAAAATGTTTATCAAATGTTAAGACTGAATTAAATGCCAATAAGCACTTTTAGGTAAAATGTTTTGAATAAAAACATTACACAAAAGTAAAGAATGGTCAGTAAAGCAGGAACAATACTGCACATTTTAAAATATTAAAATGATGCTTAAAACAATAAATACGGTCGAGTCTAGCTGAGGAGATCCTACTCTCTCTGAGGTGGGACCATGTGTACTGTCGGCAGTCTGCATGCATCCTTCTCCACACGTCACAGGCCATGAGAATAGACCAGCTGCCTCAGAACATGTTGGGAAACTGGATGCGGCTCTGCAT